GGGACTTCTTCCCATGATCATTGTTTTTCTCATCTCCTCTGTTCTCATTTCCTGGAATTCTTAGTAATTGGAGCTCTGGGATTGGTTTCTGACGACTCTTACACATCCCCTAACATCTCTTAATTTCCGGACACCTTTCTGGGAAAATCTGTCCCAGCTCCTGGGTTGGATGTTCACTTTGACGTGTTCTCTTCCATTTAACAGAGTTCCATTTGCTGAGCTATCTTTTCTCTTTCCCACTGTTTTTATCAATGTTATCTTTTCACACCTCTGGAGACATTAGGCACCTAGTCATCTGACACTGCGACATTCCCAACAGCATTTGGGAGAGAGGATTTTCAGATACTTGGAGTTTGTTTTTCTTTTAATAAGAAAACTGACAGTAAACACCTGTCACCAGCCACCAGGGAGTTTTAAGTGCTCTGAATCACTTAACATGTTAATTGCCTATTTACTAAGCAATAAACCAATACATGAGTTGGTCTATCTGAGCCCTGGTGGGGTCCTGGTTAGGCATTTGACTGCTAACTAAAGGGTAGGGGTTTTTGAATCCACCAGCCGCTCCTGGGAGAAAGATGAGGCAGTCTGCTTCCATAAAGACTTACAGACTTTGGAACCCTCTGGGGAGGTTCTCCTCTGTCCTGTCGAACAGCTATGAGTCGTAATCAATGCACTGCTAATAGATTTTAGTGATCAACTTCCACAGGGAATGATGGGTTGGTGGTGAGTTCTGCTGTTGAGTGGCAGGGGAAGGTGTTGGTGACCCCGCATGATGTAAGTGCTTTAGAATAGACACACATACTGATTTCTTTGAGGGACAGTTAGATTTTGCTAGTGTTTTGGAAAGAACATTCTGCACGTCTTTCAGCAAACATTGGACTGTGAGCTGAGCTGTAGGGACACCTGAACTTACAGTCAACAGAGACTCTGTGGGCTTTCCTCCAGCCGTGGCTTTTTCTCATGCTTCTCGTTCCTGCTCTGTTTCCTCATTTGTCTTTGATGTTTAAGGGTACATTGTGTTGGTTCCCCCACTGTTGTGCTGTGTGTGCCTGCAGGCCTTCCCTCCACCCCTTGATCCTGTGTTGGGTAGGCTTTGCTGTAAAGCACTGGACAGACCACTCCCCAGGTGGGCCCTTCCCGTGCCGATTGAACACTTGGTCTAGGATGCCAGAATGTTACTGCAGCCCACCCATCGTCCTGGTCTTGCCACGTTGCAGATTGGAGAGCTCAGAGCAGCAGATGGCTGCAGCCTCCGTGAGCATGGTCTGAGCCTTGTTCTTCCATACAGGACATACATACAGAGACCCACTCACTGACGACCACAGTCCCTGCCCCCACCGCCCATCCACTCAGGAATAGAGCTAGCCTGCGACGCGGGAGGCTTTCCGGGCCTTTGCAGACCTTACATCGTTATTATCTTCGCCCCCTTTTGTAGACAGGGGCTGCTGCTTCCATGTTGGAGGGGTTCTCAAAGGCAGGGCCCCTAAAAAGCGATAGAACCACCCCATAGGGTTTCCAGGGCTGCAGTCTTCACAGACGGAACCAGTCTCATCTTCCTCCCAAGGAGTAGCTGGTGGGTTTGAATTGCTGACTTTTTGTTCAGCAGCCAAGCACTTAACCACTGCACCACCAGGGCTCCTACCATACATGCATGCAGGTGCACGCACACAGATTCTGAAGTGGAAATCTGGCTACAAATATTCTTGTTACTAAGTTTTTTTCATTTTGGTGTTCCTTTCTGTTTAAATAGATGGTGCCAGAGGGTCTTGAAATCTATAAAACCTATAAAACCTGCAACCTGAAAACCAGCCTTCTGTAACCACCATGCCACATGCAAATGATGAGGCGTGTCCAGAGAATGCTGCCCGGGACCTCAATGCCAAACGGTCATACACCCCAAAAGAGTGGAGGTGGGGGGAGCTGAGGGTGGGTGAAGGAGCGCCATCAGTCTGACTGCTGGGACAAGGGACACACACACACACACTTCAGGTAACTGCCAGGATGAATGGAAAGACAGACAACTACCTCAGGGACCAGAACCAAGGATAGTGACACCGGTGTCCTGGCGTCCCTCAGCCTCTTTACCGAGGTGGTTTTTCTAATAACATGAGGAGTGTGAAGACTCTTACCTAGCAACACTGGTTGCCAAAGAAAAAACAAGAAAGCAGACGCTTGTATGTTACCATTTTATGGGGAAGCAGCTGTTACTGTAGAAAACTTCAGAGGTATGTTCGTTATATTGTTAAATTGCAAAGAGCGAGGGATACCCCTTGAGCAGCCAGTGAGGGGGCTTCTTTGGAATGTTGTCGTTCTAGTCACTTCCGTTCTAAAGGCACTGGATTACGCCATCCTCTGACATGTGGTCACAAGGAACCTTTCAGGGCTCAGCACAATGCCTGCACGTATGTGTGGAGACCAGTTTTCACCTTAGTTCAATTCCAAGCTTCTCAAGTCTGTATTTCTGAGGGAGGGGCCCACCTTTCTGTTCTCAACTCTTCCAAGTTTTCTCCCCTTGACTCCATTGAAGGAACTTTGCCCTGAGTGAGGTGGGTGAGACCTGACCGGGCCTATGCACGTCACAGCGCCTCCAGGGTCTGCCCGAGCCCGGGACCAGAGCCTCACGGAGAACGATGGCAAGAGATGCCTGAAGTCACAGCCCGACTCAGAGGCTCCACCTTTTGATGTGACATTTCTGTGATACTGAAGCACCCCCAGGGGTATACAGTTCAGAACCTGAAAGGTTGGGGTGTGTGGTGAACAAGTCAAGTCTTTTCATTTCCTTTTGAAGCACGGAAGGCAGCCCTTTATACTGTCGCTCAGGTCAGTCCTGAATAAAATGGTAACTTCCACCCAGCGTGCATCCCCTTGCTTCAGGTCGGAGGCGGCTCGGCAGCATGTGTGGAGTGAATGAGGGGGTTGTCGTGGAAGCTGCCTCTTGGTTAGGACTCCAGACGATGGCTTGAACGTGCTGATGGTTTTTAAAAAGCAAACACTGTATTTACAGAGCACCATTGGGGACAGCCAGCCTGACCTGAAAGGGTGGCAGGAACGATGGTCAGACGTGTGGACACTGGCTGGGGCAGTGAGTTAGAGCCTGCTCGTGATGGAGGACTGCTGGCAGCTGGGGCGGTGGCTCCTCCTCGCAGGTCATTAGGGAGCGGCACGCGCAAAATGCAGTTGCTTATGCTGTTTTGTACGTGAGAAAAGGACCACAAGGTATGGCTCTGTCTGTCCAAGCCAAAACGGTGGTTCTAGTCTTTAGGTAATTGAACAGCCCTCCTCCTCCTTCTCCTAAGTAACTGTCTCCTGATGTTCACTGCCACCAGCAAACCACCGGGAGGCTTTCAAGAGCGAGTGCCTTGGTATCTGCAGCACTTGTGTCTGAACCACAGAGTGTACGACTCCTAGTGTGTTGAGTTGGCTCCGTGTGTGTGTCTGTGTGTGCGTGTGTGTGTGTGCGTGTGCGCGTGTGTGTGCTGTACCCTCACAGAGCTGATGGGACACGTTAAGGCTCACCATCACTGAGTGGAAGTGATGAGCGAGGGAGGGTGCCCAGGTGAGAGCGGGCCCCCAAGTCCCAGGCAGCACTTACAGGGATTGCTCAGTGCTGAAGTTGACACCTTTCAAGCAGAACTTCAGACAGGCCCTCCGGCTTCAGTCATGGCTCATGAAGTACCACCACCAGATGCACCCTTACTGGTTTAAGGTTAACCAGAACAGGGAGGACAGGGTGAAGCCTTGCTGTGCGCTGATCTCCTCCCCACTTACAAACCAGGTCAGTCTGCATGGAGAACCGAAACAGCAGGGCTCCACTGGAAGGCGGCAGCAAGCACGCCACCTCGAATGTGTCGCCCTCCACTCCTGGCAGTAATCCGGTCTTGGATCAGGTGACTGAAAGGGCTCCCGGCCCTGTCCAGGGCTTCCTCCTGTAGGAATGACTTAACCTGTTCTGTTCAGCTTTCCAGTGCCACACGCTTCACAAATCTAGGCCTGCTACGTCCCACCTGATCGGCCATGAGTGAACGGGTGCGAAGCCCTGCTTTCGAGAGTGGAGCAGCGGGTGACTTAGATCCCATGGTGGCCGCACTAGACCAGGAAGGCGGGAGGACCAGTGACCTCGGCCATGGACAGTTTCAGGTTTCCACCCTTGGGCTGCACACTCCTCGAGGGCAGGGCTTACTCTGAGTGTGTATTGTCTGGTTGCTACAGGAAATGATGCTGAGTGTTGTTTGAAAGCAATTCTGTTACTCCTTGAGTACTCCTTGTTCAGCTCTGAGGGCGAACAACTTAAGTAGAAGACCACCAGCATCGTCGTCAAGTTTTTGGGTTCCATTTTGAACTGGAAATAAAGTACGACTGAAAAGTGCAGCTTTCTTTCCTACGCGTAACAGTGTGTTTAATGGCGACGCCAGTTCTTATTTGAGAAAGCCCGTTTCTAACTTTCCTCTAACAAAGTATATTTAGAAAAATATGGACTGCATTGGAACAGACCCATTTTAATTTTTACCATTAAAGTTGTTTTTTGTTTCCAAAGTTGTAGATTAGAGATGTTTGGGGAAAAAAAAAATTTATTGGCATTTTCAACATGGATAAACAGTTGCTCTGAAATAATTTCCCATAAACAATGTACTAACCCACTCTATTATTTAAAAACTAAGAGTTTCCCTTAACAGTTATTTAAAGTCGCCGAACTTGGCAAGACCCAGGGGAGGAGGACGCAGAAATGGAAACGATGCTCACTAAATTGTTTCCAGATGGAAATTCAGTTATGGTACACAATTGTTAACTCTTTCCTTAAACTCATTCAAAGTCAACGCTCACTGGAAATGCTTCTCTGGGGGTGGGGGTGGTGGTGGGGGGTGGTAAACACACCTTCCCTGGAATGAGCTACTACTCTGCTCAGCCCTCTGATCTTCCAGAACTGTGTGGACGCCAGCGGGCACTAAGCTGTGTTGACTCAACCTGGCACCACAGGACTGTAGCTCAGAGCGCACAGTGCCTCAAGAGGGCGCTGGATCCTTGGGGGCCTCTGGTTGCCCGTTGCTGTCCTCAGGTCCGTCGGTGTCTGGGTACTGAGAGATATCGAGGGTCAGAACTCGGCTGAATGTGCAGTAGTCTTGCTAGAATGAAAAGAAGGCAGGGACGTCAGTTTCTAGGCCATTCTGGATTCTGGGTTTGTATTGACCCAGACAGGACCTTGCATGGAGCCACCCTGGAAGGTCAGTCATCTGCCTGACACCAGTCATTTGTGTCACCTGGCACCAGATTGTCCATTCTTCCATGAAGTATTTTTCTGGATGGGGTCCCCTACTATTCTTGGGCACAGGAAGGGAAGACCATTCTTAACTGAGCTTCAAGGAAAACTCAGGAGTGAAAACCTCACTCTAAAAACCAAACAACTTTGGATTGGCTGCTGAAGCCTATTAGCTCACACACTATTCTGAACTTGAAAAGCTACCACAGGACTCTGATCGTCCAGTAAATGTCTTGGTGTTTTGCCAAGATAAAGTGATCCCTTGTCCTACCACAGGGCATCTGTTTTTGAATAAAATGACCAAACGTTACAGTAACAGTCTAGTCTGTGTGGGAGTTGACATGCACCATTATTTTACCAAAGCAAATTCTCATACCTACTGTTCTGCGATGATCAATTTGCTTGTTTTATATAAAATGCATCTTAAATCTCTGTACTGTTGAAGAATACTCATTACATTGAAATCTTATGTAAAAAAATGACTTCAGCCCCATATGTTGTACAGAAACCAACCCGTGTCTGTAGACTTTGTGTAGAGACTTTTTTCCCAATTAGAATTTGAAAAAATGTGGTAAAACATCCACATCCTTTTGTCCTTTCATCCACTGTGGTTTTTAGGATTCATTGCCCTTAATTTTGCTCACCGTGTGTGCCCGGCGCAACCTCTCCCAGCTCCAGGATCTTACCTCTGGGCAGATGCCGAT